TTAGCTCATGTAAAAGATTGGTTCAATTTACGCTTGTATATGAAGCCCAAATTGACCCATACAAAAGCTTATCGAACATAGAAAAGTAAGCATGCACCCAAGGGTGTGGCCTAGTGGCCAATAAAGTAGTTAAGAGCATTGAAGTCTCAGGTTCAAATCTCAGATGGAGACAAAAAACACTAGGAGAATTCTTCCCATTTGTTCTAGCCCTGATCGACATAGTTACCTGGTACCTGCTGTTGCGCAAAAGCTGGCCCGGACACCACGGTTATCCAAAAAGAGAAAAGTTGGCCTTTTTGAGTTTGATTTATTTGATATAGCTATGATAAACAAAAGAATAAAGCTTTATTAGTTTGATTTAGTAATTAGACAAAGTATAAAAGAACAAATGAACCATAAATTGACTTGGATGGCTTGGGGTTATGAACTACTCCCTCCATCCACTATTGTTTTTCATGTATACTAAAAATAGTTGTCCAAAACTTGATTGTCACTTAAAACAATCAAGAAACAATTGGTCTTTTTTTTCTTTTCAATTCTGCCCTTAATAATTACATAACTACTTATTTCAAAAAGTAACCATTTAAAAGTTACAAGACTACTTTAATGTGAAAGAAAAGTTGTTTTTACAATTTTCAAAAAGTACAAACCATTTTAATAATGATTGATAATAGGGTTATATTAGTCAAATTGCACCTTATATTAAATTTTTCTTTAAGGGTTGTGCATGATCTTATCCTTACAAACAATAGTGGACGGAGGGAGTATTGTTTAGTCTAAATTAGTTGGCTCATCGTCAACCGAGAAACTATTGAGTGGGTTGTGATCCAGCCCGTATATCATGTTGACCCAAATATAGTCCAACCCGCTCATTTGACACCCGTACAATCAAGATTTCCGTCAAGCTCTTGGTTTATGTCGAGATAGTAATATTCGTTTGTATGTTGATACCAGGGAGGGATGTTTCTGTTTAAAGGGAAGCAGTTGTTGTATGCATGGAAGGATGAAGGGACCGGTGACCATGCTCCTATGGAAGATATCTTTGATATTTGCTGCAAAGTTCCTGTTGCATAAATGCCTTCAATCTGTGTTTCATCTCTATTCGAATTTCCAAGGGAAGTGGATGCATATATTGGTTTAGTTCTCTAATTGTATATGTTGTATGTAATTCTGAAACTTGTAACTAAGGGCTCATTTGGTACGAGATTAAGGGATAATTTTTAATTTTAGGATGGGTTGGTATAAAATCGTGAAATAACTTTGTTCCATCACCTCTAGTATATGAGGATGGGAGGTAAATAGTCCATATCAGAATTTGAAATTGTATGAAATTATATTATCTAGTACTGGAAAATCACAAAGGTTATGTTTTGGTAAATTTTGTATCATCCTACTTACCTTTGTAAGGTTGAATCTCGTTCTACATGATAGGAGGATCCTTTAGTTAAATATTTATAAATAGACATTTTACGGGAATAATTTTATAGTTTGTTTGATCAAGCTTTTAAAATTTGTTTATTTTGAAAAAAAGTACTCTATTTTTGTTATAACTATATTTACCCGTACATTGTGTGGATATACTAATTTTTTTTTTAATTTCAGAAAATATAAAATAGTTCAAATATTTTTAAATGTTTGTCATGTATTATTGTTATGTTGTATTAATAAATTATTATTTTTCATATTAAAAGTTTAAACTTTTTACATTAAAATGTTAAATGACTTGTTGGTTTATTTTGTAAATGTTTTCTTTGAATAAGAAGTTAATTTTTTTTTATATCCTTAAATTAGTATAACATTAGAAAAATAATAGGTCTTTTTTGTACCAGTTTCATTAAGAATCTATGGACATTTTATAGCTTTCTATATTCTAAAAGTTAAACGGTTCATTTATCTTAAGTATATGTTAATAGTTTAAAAGAATTACTTTTCAAATAAATACATATAATATGATTTCATCACTTCGTACTACAATTTATTTTTATTTTTAAAAAAATATATTTAACAATATATTTTTATTTTCTTCCCATTAATATTTCTGTTGCTTGGATATGATTATTATTTTTATCAACACAAAAATTTAGGCCATAAACACTATTTTCTTTGTAGTGTTTTATTATGCTAAAAATTAATAAGGTTATTTGTATGCGGTTAATATAATAATAGTTATCCATTTTTAAGAAATAAATAAATTTTATTCTTTTAAAAAATAATATATTTAACTAATACGGACTATTCATATTTATAATTGAATAACCCAATGTATATGTTGCATGTCTATCTTTATTTTTATAATTATGCTTTTAAAAAAACTATCTATATCTATTTTTATAATTATTTAAGTTTGAAAAAAGAGATTGAATTTTTCATGTTTGTAATTTTTTTTTTCTATTTACATGTTATTTTGGATTGGAGATAAATGGTTTATTGTGTGTGCACCTATAATTTAGGAACGTGTTTTTATGAATAAGTTATTTTTTTAATTTTTTTTTTCTATATGGATAAGTTAAGCATGTCAAATTTTTTTATCATCTCTTGTTAATAATAAATACTTGCAAAATTTACTTTGAAATTATTTTTCATGATGAAGGTATGATCCAAAATACGTTAAGCGAAGAAGTTCTTAATCAGTTCACTTAATTTTAGGATTCTATCATAAAACTACAATACACAAATTTAAAATTGTGCTTAATAATTAAAAAAAACAACTCATTGATAATTGGAGATAAATTAATTATTTTAATCATAACAAGAGGCAAAAACTTGCCTTGCGGTTGCTATTCAAAAGGGGTAAAAGAATCACGATTTACACTTTTCTAGTAACCATATTTAGTGAATTTGCAAATAAATAAATTTATTTTTATTATCAACAAAATCTAATTTTTTTTTATTTTACTATATTTTTTGTTAATCAGGTTTAAATGTTCGTGTACAGGGGAAAAGTTGTAAAACCTACTATTTAAATTCTAATTGTAAATAAAAGTTTAATATTAGAATATTAGAAAAAAAAACATGATAATATTTAGTTAGTAACTTTGTTTTATATTCACATTTTATTTAAATATTTTTTTAAAATTAAAAAGTGGATCACTTAAATTTTAAAATTTTCTATCGTTATGTTTATATAAATATAAATTTTATGTATTTTCTTAAATGGTTATATAAATTTTATGTATTTTCTTAAATTTTAAGTAATCTTTAATAAGAATTAATTTTTAAAATTTTAGCTTAGAATTTAATATCATCACAAATTATTAAATTTAATAAGGAAATTATATTTCTATTGCAATAAGATTTTAGTAATTCTATTTTGTGACTTTTGTCTTATAAATCATAAGTTATCAATATATACGAATATGCTCTAATAAAAAAAGATAGAATTATCAAAGATATCCCTTCTATAAGACAAATAGGGAAACTTACATAAATATATTATAATAAAAAAATATTTACCATTTATAACAATAACATTTTTTTTTTCAATTGACCACTTTTAATTCATTTATAACACAAGTTTAATACATATTATAAAGATAAATTTATTATTCAAATATAATACAGGTTTTAATGATGGATAATACATTTATACACTTATAATACAATGGGACAATTTTTTACCAAACAAAAATAATATATTTCAAAAATAATTATAATTCAAATATATTGGACACATAATTTACTTTTAATACTTATTACAGATTTACCAATATGATTATAATTGATAATAAACAAAAAGTATCGCTTAAATCAGTAATTATTTTAAAAATATATTTTTTATGTAATTTTTCCTAATAATTTTATCAAACTTTATAAGAAAATGTATAACATATGTTTAAACATTATACTCTTCACAGTAATAGTACTTAAAAATATTATGTAACTCTGTAGATTTTTTTTTTATAATTTTAAAATAGTTTTTTACTACCTTATATTATTAGAGTATCAAAAATAAAATGAACAAACTAATTATTCGACTACTTAAAACTTAAGCATCATCAAACTAAGTATAGAATCTTAGATAACTTCAATAAAATATTAAGATCATTTCATGATTGTTTATATGATCAAATAAAATATATGTTAAAATTTTGTATTATATTTATGATCATGACTAATTTATCTTGCGCTTAAATTCAAAATTTATATTTAAAATTTTAAAATATAAAATTATAAATACTTACATCTAGTGTTGATTTTATACTCCAAGAATCTTCCAAATATTAAACTTTGACACACAAACGCACTAAAAAAATTATATCAAAATTTAACGCATTAAAAGAATATATCGAAATTTAACATTTAGATTGAACAATTTTAGCAAAAATGGAGTGAATATACATACAAATAAGACAAGGATAAAAGAAAAACTGATACAAATAAAGTTGAAAGAATGGTTTGCCAACATCGCTGTAGTATTAGTATATATATAAATATTTTCTGTTTTGTAACCATTTTTTAAAAACTCATTTATTAGAAGAATTGCAAATAGTCTGTTTGAGTTCTTTTGAAATTGTTTTAAAAAATATTTCTTTTGAGAATTTAAAACGTTTTCTACTTTTTATAGATCTGCTAAACAAATTCACTTTCTTTTGTCAATATTATTAACTTTTTTTTGAAAAAAGATCAGCCTCCAATAAAAAGGAAGGCAGATTTAAAAGTTTTCAAAAATCCGCTTTATACGATATTAAAAAGTAATTTGTTTATGAGATATTAAAAATAGTATATACTTATTTTTTTCGATATGACATTTATGAGTGTTTTAATATATATATATATAGATGGCAGTTTATCTGTGTTCGTATAAATGCCACTTTAAAAAAAGTACAAATTAATTTTCTTAAAAAATATTAAAATCTACCCTAGATATAATTTTAAAAAAATACATTTTTTGAATTTTTAAACTGATCTGAAGTGGACTTTTATAACAAATTGATCTTATTTGACATATATATTTTTATTTTAAATATTTAATTATTTATAATTCTAAATTTTATGATACTGATATGTATTCTTATTTATTCTCCTGTTATATGTAGATTGACTCGAAAAAGTATTTATTTATTTTTGAAAAAAAAATCACAAAATTTTCCTTTTTTTATTAGTGGAGCCCGCCTTTTTACCTAAGTTTTATTGGATTTGGACTTTAAAGCCCGCCTTTCTACCCAGGTTTATTCGGATATTGCCCCAAAATAATCGGGTTTCCTCGTACTATTAGAAAACCCACAACTATATAAAGATTATAAAATCAATTAAGGGCAGCACTTCCAATCAAACTGCGACTCTTTCATAATCCCTTTTTTTCCTCTCTTCTTCGATTTGTCCGTTTATAAAAATTTAAACTCTTTTCGAATTTCAATTTCATAATTATTTCTCATTCTCCGTCAATGGAGAGTAATTGTGTGCAAGGTAAAATATTTGTTGGGGGAATATCGTCGGAGACAAGTGAAGAAGTACTTACGCAACACTTTAGTCGTTATGGAGAAGTGGTGAAGTCACAGGTAATTAAATATCGAGACACTAATTGTGGAAAAGGATTTGGTTTTGTTACCTTTGCTGATGCTTCTCTTATCGAGCAACTTATTCATCAGCAACACATAATCCTTGGAAGAACGGTACTAATACTTCGAACTTTATTTTTTTTCTCTCGAATTTAACTTTTGTTCACTGATAAATATAACTAACTTATTGTATTTTTATATTACAATTTTTTTTTTATGGATGATTACCGTGACGTCATGTCCGTACATAAAATTTCAATTTCATGTTAGTTTTTTTTGGCTTTCGATTGCTGGTTATTCGTAAGTCAAAAATAGTTTTTTAACTATGTATTATCAGATTTAGTTCTTAATTAAAATCAATAAATATATAATTAAGGGATTAAAATTTAATGAAATTTGAGATGGTAAAAGTCCAAATCTATGTAGTGTAGTTGAGAAATTATTTTATACTATTCAAATAGTTCAGTTTTCTCTCTGTTTGCCCTATGGGTTAATTAAGTAATTCGAAATATTAGCCTAAACATTTCGCAAAAAATCTACGAACTTGCAAAAAAAGAAAAACATTCATGTGTTTTGGATAAGTACAAATAAATCGGAAAATAAATCAACAGAAACTAACTTAAAACTGAATTCAGTTCTCTTATATTATGTTCATTTACTATATAGAAAATATTCTTATGCCTAGAAAATCCCTGTTGTGGTAAGAAAAAAAGGGAAATTAAGAAGTTGTAAGTTCAAAGTTTTTTTTTTTTTGATTTTCTAAAAATAGAATTGTGAGAAAAACCTTTCCAAAAAAGTTTATTTTACATTAAAAAAAAAGGCCTGACGGCCAAAAAGCAATTTAAAACCTTTTTTGATCGAGTGCGTGTGTGAAAAGGTTTTACAAGGAGGGTGGTTTTTTTTTTTTAATTCACGAAATTAAGAATTTAATAAGCAAAACTTTTAATCAATGAAAAGATATAAGTACTTAATTTATAATCAATTTTGTATATTTCTTCACTTATACTATTTTTAAAAAAATTGTGTATAGCTATATTAGTTGAGCTACCATATTGATATGTGCTTCGTGTTTGATGATTATTATTGTAGGTTGATGTTAAATTAGCGATACCTAAAGGTGCAAGCGGTCAATGCCAACTTGGTTCAGAATGTCCAAATTTTCAAAGACAAGATAGCAATAATAACAGAAGAAAGATTTTTGTTGGTGGATTGCCTCTTAATTTGTCGGAAGAAGAATTTAAAACGTACTTTGAAAAATTTGGAACAATTTCACAAGTTAATCTTATCTCCAACAAAGAAATCAAAACGCCTCGAGGATTTGGGTTTGTTACTTATGATTCAGAAGAATCTGTAACACATGCATTGCAAGAGAAACTTCATTGGTTGATAAATAAATATGTTGAGGTAAAAAAAGCAGAGCCAAGGGAACGGAGAGTTATCAATAGTAATTATCATAATTTTTATCCTGGCTATGGAATGTGGCAAATTTATGATTGTAATAATGAAATTTTTGCCCCTCAGTACTGCCACAATCATACTATGGTACCTACTAATTGGACTAGTTCGTTTAATCATTTGGGTACAAATCAATTTGTTCATCCGCAACCTATTGTACCATATTTTACCCCTACATATCCAGTCAACTACTATGGTTCAACGCATAGGTATCCAATCAACTGCTACTGTTCCACACAAAATCAAGTGGATCATAATAGGGGCTCTTACTCAACCTTTACTCAGAATAATGTGATAAATGAAGAGAATGGCCAAGAATGCAATAATATCGAGGTTCAACTTGTTGGAGATGGTTCACTTCCAGGTAATTTAGTTTTCAACTACTCTTTGGATTTACGTATGAGTTTATATAGTAATTCATTAAAAAGTTTATAAGGTAATTATAAATTTATCTTTATAATAAGTATCTACTCTAGTTTATATAATAATGTTTGACTGTATATAAAATTTAAGAATGAAAGGAAGATGTTTGAAAAATATATATAGTCTGAAAACAAGTCATATATATTTTTGTGGTATATTTTAAAGCCTTTGAAAGTACACTGTATGATTAGTTTATTTGTGATGTAGCTAATGAGAGTGCAAAGTCACTAGAGAAAGAAACAGACAATGGTGGTGAAAAAGATGACTTGAAGGAAATTCTCTATGATAATACGAAAGAAGATAATGGTGAAATAGATCACTTGGTGAAAATTCTCCAGGTCAATTCTGAAGATGACACATAAAGTACAGAAAATTAATGGAGTTTCAAGTAAGTGTTTCAATTTTGTTTAGTTTACTACTATGAGTTGGTATTTATAATTCTCTCTCTATTTACTTTTGCTTATCATCTTTTAAATTTATCGTCTCCATTAAGAAAAATAATTGACTGACTATTTTATCATACTGTTCCTATTCATGAACGTTTAGTACTATAAAATGCTAAGAGTAAAACATATAGAAAATAATTATTTTTCTTTGATTTGTGAAAAATGATAGATAAAAATAAAAATATATTTTGAAATAGTGAATAAATAAAAATAAAAATAGGTATCAATATGAATTGTAGTATGATAATGAGACCGCTTTATTTTTAACAGTTATATCAAAATTCAACAATTCACTCATAAATAAAGTATATATTTATTAATATGATGTAATTAGTTCTGAATATGCACAGTGTAAATTATTATTAGTTCATATTATTTTACTACTATATATAGCAGCTCTTGGTCGACATACTTGGTTGTCGACTAAGGGATAATTTTGGTATATTACAAATTAAGAGCTTTGACTGACTTGTAATCAAAGCTGTTATGATTGTATTAGTTTATTCTTGGACGAAAATGTCAAAACATGTATATTTATTTACTTATTTGCCCTATAAAAAAGATAGCACTATTTTTTGACTCTGTAGACCCCACATGTATAAATTTTATAGTACGTGCGCGGTCATTCTTTGGTTTTCTTGGCTTTTAAATGCACTAGTAGTTAAACTTACTGCAACTAATCAAATTAAATAGAATTTTTTTTTATCATTGATTTAAAAAAAGTTATAACTACTCCAATTTTAAACTACTAATAATTAAGGAATGACAAATTGTTCAGACAATAAGTATAACTAGGTAATATCATTAATTGTAATTTTGTATTAAATTAATTAAATATATTTACTGCTTATGAAATCAATTATGTTGATTTTTATTACAAATTTTAATATTTCAAAAAGGTAAGATAGGTATTACTCTAGTTTCAAAAAAGCATTCTTCAAGGTGTTACTACAAATTTTCCATATATATATATATATATATATATATATATATATATATCGGAAATTATAATATATAAAATAATTATAAATTACAATAATTAGTTGTTTAAGATATTTTAAAAAAAATTGAGTGACTCTCTTGTATTCCTTGAATTGAAACATATGGAGTTATATATATTAAATAATTTAAATATTTAAAAAATATAGTAAAATTTTGTTTATTTTTTTAAATTTATTTATATCACATAAATTGGGATAGAATGAATAATATATATTGAATCCTGGCACATACATCTTTTTTCAACTTATCATTATAAGGTAATAACATATTGTCTAATTATTTTTTTTGCAGGGTGTATTTTGATATAGAGTATTTTAGAGAAAATGTTGCTTATTTTTGGGTTAAGATTCAAAGTCATCTTTGAATTTTCATAAGAAACATTAATAGTCTCTCATGTTTGCAATATTGATGCACTTTTGATCTTCTTCACAATTTTGTCTATTTTTAACATTGATTTTATTCATAATTTACGTATGAAATGCTTAATCATCATTTTATATATTTAGTAGAAATAATAACTCAGTGCGAAAGATTGTGACAAGAAAAATACCTTATTTTATTTCGTAGAAATCGTATTGTAGATAAAGTCGAAAGATTCATCACGATTCACGACGATTTTATGTACAATAGTATAAATTTTTCTTTTCTTGCAATGTCATATGTTAAAATGACTTAGTTTAGATGCAATTATATTTATATTGAACAGAACAAGGTATTCTTTCACCTTCTCTCACATAAAATTATTTTTTCTACTGAATATATAAAAGACGATGGAACATTCCTTACACAAAATTATGAACAATATTAATGTTAAAAAATAGGCAAAAGTTTAGCGGAGGACAAAAAATACATCAATGTTACAAACATGAGGGACCTCTCTCGAGTATTTTACTTTTATGATGTTGTACATAACTTGCCAAGCTTGACCAACTTTAATCAAAAAAAAAAGTCTAAATAGTCTTTTATCTTTCCGTTGAGATTCGAAGTCATTTTGTATTATATTTTTACATAAAACATTAATTATTTCTCGTATTTGTAATATTAATGCATTTTTAGTCCTCACTTAATTTTTTTTTCTATTTTAACATTGATTTGGTCCACAGTTATCATGTATAATTACCGTGACGTGATGTTAATACATAACAGCATAACTTTGCCAAAATTTGACCAACTTTAATCGAAAAAAAGTTCAAAATAGTCTTTTATCTTTCCATTAAGATTCGAAGTCATTTTGTATTATATTTTTTGCATGAAGTATTAATTATTTTTCATATTTGTAATATTAATGCATTTTTAGTCCTCTCTTAATTATTATTATTTTTTTGGTCTATTTTAACATTGATTTTGTCCACAGTTTATTATGCATAATTACAGTGACGTGATGTTAATACATAAAATTGAAATTTTATGTTTTCTTTTTAAATTTTATTTTTAAAAGAGAGTTTTACAATGAAATTAGCATTAGCACGTGATTTTTTATGTATTTTCTAATACAAAATTTAGCTCTTCAAAATACCTATATTGCCCTTGGCTTTCGTGGTTGAACATGGTTCCTAAATTACTGGAGTAGGTCAAAAATAATTTCTTAACTAAATAGTATCAGATTTAGTCTTCTTTAACTAAAATTGTTAAGTATATGTTTAAGGAATCAAATTTGGTAAAGTTCGAAATAGTTAAAAGAATAAATTCGATAAATAGTTAAAGATGCTATTTTAAATTATTCAAATAATTCAGATCGCGTTTTTTCTTTGTTTCCCTCTGGTTTAATTAAATAATTCGAAATATTAGCGTAAAAAATTTCGCATAAATCTACAAACTTAAAAAAGAAAAACAAATTATGAATTGGTACAAACCAATCTGAAAATAAATCAACAAAAACTAACTTAAAACTTTAATTCAATTCTCTTAAATTATGTTCATTTACTATATAGAAAATATTCTTATGCATTGAAAATCTCCTTTGTTGTAAGAAAAAAAGGGAAATTAAAAAGTTCTAATTTCAAAGTTTTTTAATTAAGTTTCTTTTTATTTTTATTTTTTTATTTTATAGAATTGTAAGAAAACCTTTCCAAAAAAGTTATTTTACATGAAAAAGGCCTGACGGCCAAAAAGCAATTAAAAACATTTTTGTGCGTGTGTGAAAAAGGATTTCCAAGGAGGATGTTTTTTTTTTTAATTCACAAAATTAAGAATTTAATAAGTACAACTTTTAATCAATGAAAAGATATAAGAACTTAATTTTTAATCAATTTTGTATATTTCTTGTCTTATAATATTTTGGTTTATTTTTTGATCTATCAAAAATAATTACTTGTAATATCTCCTATTCTCCTTACACTCCAAAACTCACTTTCATTTTGTTGTTATTATAAAAAAATTTGTGTATAACTATATTAGTTTAGTGACCTATTGATATGTGCTTTGTGTTTGATGATTATTATTGTAGGTTGTTGTTAAATTGGTGATATCTAAAGGTGCAAGCGGTCAAAGTCAATTTGGTCCAGAATGTTTAAATTTTCAAAGACAAGAAAATAATGGCAAAAGTAACAGAAGAAAGATTTTCGTTGGTGGACTGCCTCTTAATTTATCGGAAGAAGATTTTAAAATATATTTTGAAAAATTTGAAATAATTTTACAAGTTAACCTTATCTTCGACAAAGAAATCAAAACGCCTTAAGGATTTGGGTTTGTTACGTATGATTCAAAAGAATTTGTAATATATGTATTGCAAGAGACTGGTTGATAAATGAATATGTTGAGTTAAAAAAAGCAAAGCCAAGGGAACAGAGACTTATCAATAGTAATTATCTTAAATTTTACCCTGACTATGAAATGTGGCAAATTTATAATTGTGATAATGGAAGTTTTGCCCCTCATTATTGCCACAATCATACTATGGTACCTAATAATTGGACTAGTTCGTTTAATCATTCGGGTTCAAATTTATTTGTCTTCCCACAAACTGTTGTATTATATTTTATTTCTACATTATTCGTCAATTGCTACATTTCAACACATAATCAAGTGGATCATAATAGGGGCTCTTACTTAACTTTTATTCAAAATAATGTGATAAATGAAGGGAATATCCAAGAATGCAATATTATTGAGGTTCAACTTGTTGGAAATGATTCACTTCCAGGTAAATTTAGTTTTCATCTTCTCTGTTGAATTTTTTTTATCACTCAATTGGATTTACATGTGAGTTTTATGTAATATTTTTTTAAAAAGAGTTCATAAGGTAATTATAAATTTATTTTTATAATAAGCATCAATTCAAAATTATGTAATAATGTTTGATTGGGTATAAAATTTAAGAATGAAAGGAAAACGTTTGAAACTTATATATAGTGCAGTAACACGTCATATATAATTGTGTGGTACATTCTAAAGCCTTTGAAATTACACTTCATGATTAGTTTATTTGTGATGTAGCTAATGAGAGTACAACGCCACTAGAGAAAGAAATATAAACTCGAGAAAAAGATGACTTGGAGAAAAATTTTCACGACAATACAAAAGAAAATATTGGTGAAAAAGAACACTTGGTGAAAATTCTTCAGATCAATTCTGAAGATGACACCTAAAGTACATAGAATTAATAGAGTTTCAAGTAAGTCTTACTATTTTGTTCACTTTTACTACTACGAGTTGATATTTATAATATTCTCGATTTACTTTTACTTGTCAAATTTGAATTTTTCACCTCAATAGAAAAATGATTGACATGGCTATTTTATCATATTATTTCTATTAATGGATGTTTAGTACTACTAAATGCTAAGACTAAAACATATAAAAAATAATTGTTTTTCTTTGATATGTGAAAAATGATATGTAAAATAAAAAAATATTTTAAAAATAGTGAATAAATAAAAATGATGGAAGTATTTACTACTTTAATTGATTTCCCTTGAAGCTCTCAAATCAATATATATATATATATAAATGAGGACCATAGACAAGGTGATGTGGCACCTCTCTATGGCCTCCATTCCTTTTTTTCATTTTCTCTCTTTTTTGACATTTTTTCTTCTTTCTTTTAATGAAATAATTTGTTTATTAATTAAAAAAATTCAAGTATATTTATTATTGTAATTATATATAATGCTTACAAAAAAACCTCCATCTATTGATATTCTCACTTAAATTGCATATCTTTTCAATTTCCTTCTAACTATTTTTGTGGCTTATCCAATCTATAAATACCTATCATCTATAGAGATGTTGAATGTTCATTTTCATTTTTTCATTCTTTCCTTTTAGTAGTATAGGTTTTTAATTTTCTTTTCTTCGTCTTTTTATTCATCAATCATGTATATAATAAAAAGAAGACATAAAAAAGATGATGTCACAATATGACCTTCACTTTGATGAAGATCATAAATATATTCTTCAAAGATTCATCACATTATTTGGTATAAGTTCAACAAAATGAAGAAGGAAGCATAATTATCTTGGAGATTCCGGAAGATAGAGTCATAGTATTATAAAAGTTTGAATGATTTCCAAACATTTTGAAAATTCATTGTTGTATTATTTTGATTCCAATTAATATTATTCTATTCTCTTTTATTTTATTTCTTCATTTTGAACAAAAAAAAAATGATTATTCTATTCATTGTTGTTGTTGTTGAAGATGAAAAAAATTATTATTCCATATATATATATATATATATATATATATATATAATTAATATTTTAGATTTTTTCATGGTTGAATTAAAGGTATATTATCTATGGTACACTTTTTTATAATATCTACTGAATATTTTTGTCCCTAAAAATATATGATATGGTCTATTATATTAGTAATCAATCACAAAATAAATGAATAAATATTTTTTTCAGTATTGAATATTTTTAATGATATATTCTAATTGAGCACACTCGGTATCACTTTGTAAGAATACACTACATTGTTGTTGTTTTAATTAAACATATAAAGTTTGTATTTTTTAAGCTAGTAATGAAACCGTATGAGAATATATGTAAATTTGTAATTAATAAAATTAATTTCGACGAGAGAACTTTTTTTTTATTGTAATTTGTTATTAATAACATTTTAAGTTTCTTACCTTTTCATTTTCTCCTATTAAATAGATAAGGGAGAAACTAATCTTACAAACATAATTGGAACTTTGAATTTAGCATTCCCTAAAATTAATCTCGTTAATTTTCCCTTCTTAAACTAAGAAATATGTATCTCTTTAACTTCATAACTTATATTTCTATAATCTCTAACTCCTCATAACTCTCAAATTTTATGTAACGACCTGTTTAGTCGTTTTGAGCAGCAGATTTTATTTCTGGAAAAACAGGCTGAGACGACGGAACCCACGACGGACCGTCGAGGGGTCTCGTTTCAAAACACTTAGAAATTCTGAAATTGGGTACTGAAAATCGACTCTCTGAACTTCATAACGGAATAGCAGGACGGACCGTCACAGGCGTGACGGACCGTCACAGGCGTGACGGACCGTCACAGGCGTGACGGACCGTCACAGACTCTTCAGAGAATTTCAGTCTCTGAACTCTGTGACGGAGCAGCAAAGACGGCCCGTCGCAGGCACGAAGGCCCGTCACAGGCACGATGGCCCGTCACAGGCTGCGTAATCCCAGGCGAGGTCGAATTTCTTTACACGTTTTAAGGGACGTTTTGGACTATTCCTACTTTAATTATAAAGTTAGTGGGTTTATGTTAATAAGTCTAATTACTTGGGGGTTAAAAGAGGTAACCTTGAGTAAATTAGTGGGTTATTATTGCCATCTTTTATTCTTAAATTATATGCTAATTAGGGTAAAAGAAAGATGGTTTGAATAAGAAAAAGAAAAGAACAGAAAGAGAGAGAAGGAGAATCGATAGAGAGAGACGAACGAAGAGGAAAAACACAAGGCTTTGGGAAATTCTTGCTTGATCACTAGTCTTCGGTGGAGGTAGGTTATGGTTTCTCTTACGATATTCGTAGTAAACTCT